GACAACTGATCCTTGGGTCTATTCCCATCATGTCTTTGTGCTTCCAGGTGAACACATACAAGTTCCTTTTTAGAAAGTTCATCACTTCTTCTTTCACTTCGGGGGATAGTGTTTTCCCAATCCGCAAGACTTGAGTAGGGTCTTCAGGGTTGATGGGAAAAGTTCCAAGTTCTTGCATTGGAGTCGCATTTGGTTTGGACTTGATAATTCGGGGGTCCAACTCATCAAGAGGGTGTCCTTCTTTAGAGGCCTCTACCATGTCGACGTCTTCTTCCTGTTTGGAGGTGTACCTTTGTTTAGGGGCGTCGAGCATCTCTATGTCCATGTTGACTTCGTTGCCAGCCTCTGTTATAATGATATTTGAATTTTCGTAGAGAGTTGAGGTAACATGCCCTTGAGCCCATTTGGTCGCCTCGAATTGTAGCAATCTCATGTTCGATTGGAAACTTCATACACAAGTAATGGATGGATGTAACTGCCCAAAGATCTTTCAAGGTAGGTTGGCCCAATCCACCACCAGGAACTCCATGAAGTGGTGGGCCACTAGGGGGGCTGACCCCATCTGACAGGTAGAGTAATTCACCCTTGTGGGACGATGTTGTCGCTAGCAAATCCAAATAGCAGGTCAGACATGGAGATCAACCCGTGTTGAATCTGTATTTTATCAAAGGTGGATCCGAACAGTATATTCACCGAGTTCCCATTGTCGACGAGCATGCGTTTAAGTCCGTTTCGAGCCACTACGGCTATTACCAATAACGCATCACAATGGGGATGGTGAGCTCCTTGTGCATCTTCTTGAAAGAAAGTGATCAGGGCCTTTTGGTGGCCTCTTCGGTTTGACTGACAATGTAAGTAATTATTGGTAGATCCTTTGCTTCTCTTGTGTAGTTCCTCTGGGCGTTCCTAGTATTGCCCCCGATGTGAGGTCCTCTAATGATTGTATCAGTTTCCCTGATAACTTGGCCTCTAGATGGGGCCTAATCCCTATGCCTGGATTCTCCTCTGTCCCTGAATTCTCTCCTCTGGGGTGATTGGTCTCTATATCGCCTCTCTTCCCTATTCGGGGAGATGGACCTATGGGTGTATTCACCCTTCTCAAGGAGCGTAGGTTACTCCAGTTCAAGGATTGAGGAGAATCTCTACATTCGCTAGTGTCGTATCAGTTAAGTTGGTGAAAGGTGCAGAACTTTGCCTCTTCCAGGGGCCTATTTGATCGCTTCTTCTTCTTCTTCCGATTGCCTCTTCCCCCGAATGGCCCTGCCTCGACAAGAGCATTTTCATATGCTAGCACCGGCACTGCATTTAGAGTGGCTAAAGCCAATGCCTGTCCGAATGTGGGGGCTACTGTGTGATCGGCCTTGGTCCATTGCGGGTGACAAGGTGTGCGGCTGGTCCTTGACCCATCTGCCTCTGAGGCGAGGGAAGTCTCTGAGCCGCACAGTTCTGATGGTCAATCATCTCCTCATTGACGATTTCCACCCTCATCATTTCAACTAGCTCATCATAGGTGGTGGGATTCTTGCTACATACATCCCTCCAGAACAGAGTGTTCATGTTGAGGCCACCTTTCAAAGCTGAAAGAAAGGTGGCCTCCCTGTCAGTGACTTGCTCGCAATACGTGATTTCATCAGTGAATCTGGCGAGGTAGCTTTTCAGTGTCTCGCCAAGAGCTTGCCTCATGTCTTGCAGGCATTGCACTAGGGTCTCTCTTTCCCTTCATGAAAGGTATTGGTTCAGAAATGCCTTCTTCAAGTCTGGCCAGCTTATGATGCTCAGGGGTGGTAATCTGCTGTATCACACTTCAGCAGCTCCGGTGAAGGTTAGATGAAATGCCCTACATTTCAGTGCCGGAGAGGCTCATCTGCGTTATGTACTTAGTGAAGTGTTTTTGTGGGTCCCGTTTTCCTTCATACTTTAGGATTTTAGGGGGCATGAAGTTTGTAAACATCGGGAAGCTTCGAATTTCTCTAGAAAAGGGAAGGTTGTCATCATCATCATCATCATCGATTTCGTAGGAACGGCATGGCCCTTCAGAGCCTTTCCCCTTTGATGCATTTTTGGGGGATGGAGGTGCCTCTTCTCGACTATCCCAATCCACTAGGTTTCTTGTCTCTCGCTTATCTCTAGGCGGAGGAGGTACTTGTTGCTCCTGCTCTTGTTGGACTGATCTTTGTACGGAGCGGACCCTATTGCTAGGGTTCTGCCCTATTTTGTCGAAGACGCTGACAGACCTTTAGGGTTCGTATTCTATTGGGAAGTTCTCTCCTGGTGATGGTTCTACTGGTTGGCCTTCCTGCGCGTAGAATGTCACATCTATACCCACTTCTCTTTCATAGGGGTGTTCCCGGTGTTAGCTCGAATGGCCTCAGCCATGAGGTGCAAGGATTTCTTGAGCCGGATATAATCCTCGAGGCATCTGGAAGCCCTGATGACCTCGGGCCTGCATGAAGAATTCACGCGTCGCCACATTCTGAGCGACAATGTCTTTTATTTCGGCAGCTATTTGAGCCATTCCTTCAGTGAGCGCTGCTGTCCTGTTGCCTCGGTGACGCCGGTGATGGGGTCTCCAATGCGTGACATTGGTCCTGATTACCTCTTCTTCAGAGGCATCCTTGTGCCCTTCAAAATTTGCATTTTAATTACTATAACTCATTTTGTTTATCCTTTCAAGGGTGTTAAGAACCTTGTAGGTTGACTTTGTTCTTTTTCAAGAACGTGCCCTTTTCAGGGTAAGTTATAGTTTGCCGGTGGCTTTTTCGGTGGACAATGTAGAACTTTTGGACGGAAAGTTTTCCATAGACGGCGCCCATCTGTTGACCTCGAGAATTGGACCCTCCACGTGACCAACAGATAGCTACTCCACATAATCGTCTTTGTGCACAACAACGCACGGTCAGAAGCATACGGTCGAAACCAACTGTGGTGGTGGCAGCCACATACACTCCGACGGTCAAGTCAGCGTTGGGTGATCGGAACAGTGTTCAAGTTATGCAAGAGAGTGAGGAGGAGAATATATATTTTTTAGTATAGAGAGCTAAGTTATAAGAGTTTATTTACCTTTGTCTCTTGCCAAACCTTGGGTATTTATAGAGGTAGAACACCGCTGGATGTAGGACACGTATATGCATCTGACGGTGTGAGGTGTTCGCTCATAGGCGTTAATCAGTCGCGTCTAGAGTGGGTGGGCAATTAGTTCTTCTGAGTTGAGTTGACATAAAGTTGATAAGTCACATCAACTAGACCTATGGAGACGTCACATCACTTGATCTTTAGGGGTAGAGGGGATCCTGACATCTGATAGTGGCGGCGGAGGGATATGTTAAAGGAGTGTCTCGAAGTGCTCAACGCTTCGGAGTTGAAGGACACTTCGATTGCTTTAGGTGGATCTACTCTTCACCTTGCAGCGCGCCATGTTGAGGTCGTCAAAAGTGGTCATCACTTCGGAACCACTTCGGGTGAACATGTGGAGCTTTGGGGAGTGGCGTGACTGTTTTTTCAAAGTGGTTTAGCTTGGGGATGGACACGTGGGAGTGGTGTGATTGTTGTTCCGAAGTGATTTAGCTAGGGGTGTAACATTATGTAAAGCTTCGATTATTTTTATTTTTAATTTTTTATAATTTTATTTTTCTACAAAATCTTTATAATATTATTTTTCAGATTTTTTATTATTTAGATTTTAGAATTTATTTTTCCAAAATTTTTATTTTATAAAATTTTTAAATTTATTCTTTAGAATTTTATATTTTTATTTTTAAAAATTTTAATTTTTGAAGTTTTATTTAAACGCTTTTTCCCCATATTTTGATTGTTTTCATAATTTTTACCAAAAACACTCATCAAAAAATGCATTTTGAGTTTTCTGTTATAAACTTAACATGATTTTCAAAAATACTAAACCAAATACGTTTTTAGTATTTTGTAAATCTGAAAATTGAAATTAGCTTGAAACAACAACCGAAACACACCCTAACATTTTTCTATTCCAAAGAGAGAGAGAAGGGGGGGGGGGGGGGGGGGAGGAACCAAGGAATTTCGCATTATTTATATTGGAGATTGGTTGTTAAACATCTCGTTCTTTGGTCTCACAAGTTGTAATAGTTTTACAAGAAATTATTATTTTACACTAAGTGAGGAAATAAAGGTTTAAATTTTGTTGTTATAAATCAAATTCAGTTTTGATTAATGAATAACTACCTTAATGTGATTTCAATCGAGTACCTGCATCCAATCATGTCTTGTAAATTGACGAAAATCTATACATGACAACCAAAATTGACGGTCCTTATCATTTCATTAAATTTGTAATTATTTCACCTTAGCAACTAACAATTACGTGCGATGATCATCATTTTTCAACACCGCATCATAAAAATACCTTAATTGATATGAAATCGAAAAACAATTACCGAATTAAAATCAAATTAAAGTAAAATTATCCAATTAAAATCAAATTAAAGTGTACTTATCCATTTAACACCAAGTAAAATATAATTATTGTGAACGAAAATTAACCAGAAATATTGCCTTTGGCCCCTATAGGGGCGAACCCTACTCCTGCACTGGACTTTGGACCAACCCCATTGGATATATTTTGGAGCACTAGAAATGTCTATGGCCTCCAGTTCATTTGTTCAAGTTGAAGCACACCAGAAATATCAGATGGAGAAGATGGGCCAAATTATAAGTTATTTCATTTTTATTATAATATTTGTGTTATAATGTTGTTATTTTCACTTTTATTAATATCTCCCGCAATGAAAAAAAGTTTCTAGGTCCGCCCTTGGCCTACTCCCTCATTGAAGTGAGCACTATTCTGAAGATTGTGAGGTGCTTCTCTGGACACTCGCCAATAATGGGAAATTCTCAATAAAGACAAGGAGCATAAAAACATCTTCTAAATTCATGTACCACAAATTACACGCTTTCCTTTCAATAGAAAATCTGAAATATTGGGAACTAAAGCAGTGTACTTTCCAGGAAGTTTCAAGACATGTCAGTTTACCTAAACTTCAGGGCGGCAGTTGGCTATGTTTATAAAAGGGTTGAACCCAAACATTAAGGGTCCCCCATCGCCCTTATTCTAGAGCATCGTGAGGGAGGTAAATCGCAGGTTATGCCTTCAAGGGTACAGAATGGAAGGCTACTTGTACACTTGCAGTTGGCTATGTTTATGTATATATTTCAGAAGTTGAAAGGGAAGTACACCGTTGTTCTTCAGCAACAGTTTATTGTAAAAAACTGAATTTCCAATGTAACACAATATGGTTTCACAACAAACAAAATGTTTTACAAAAAAAAAAAAAGACCAATTATTTTAGAGGTGGTGCAAAATCAAGTCCCGAAACACAAATTCCCCCGACGGTGTTGTCTTCTTCCTCTTCACAACAGTATAAATCTTCAAGAAAGAATGAAAAGCATAATTTACTCGACCTTTAATGAATTTGCAACATCGATGACAAAACGGTATTTAACATCAGATTTCTCGAGACGCTTCATTGCAGGGTTGACATAATCCATGGAAATGATCTCGACATCTGCAGATATGTTGTGTTTTGCGGCAAAATCGACCATTTCTTGAGTCTCTTTTAATCCTCCAATTCGACTGCCACTTATCGACTTTCTACCTGTTAATACATTAGGTATGTTAGGCCATTATTTTAAGATCCAAACAATCGAAACTCGTGAGAAACATCGATTGAATTTCTCACCAAAAATCAGAGGCAACATTGGCACCTCGAGTGGCTTTTCTGCGGCACCGACCATGATAAGATGTGAATGAGGCTTTAACAAATTTACCAATGGTAGAAGGGGGTGAGCAACAGACACGGTATCAATGATTCCGTCCAACGTCCCAGCTGCAGCCTATTAACACATCACAAAAACTCAACATTAAACAATCTCGTCTGAAAGCTTGAGCTAGTAGAGTCGTAACATTTATTCATATAAATTTCTCACCTCCATCGCCTCTTGATCACGGCTAACTAAGAATGAGTCCGCACCAAGACGTTCAGTCGCTTCCTTCTTCTTATTAATAGATGTACTTATCACTGTCACCTTACTCCCGAAAGCCTTAGCAAATTTTACAGCTACGTGACCGAGCCCACCAAGACCAACGACGCCAATATTCAATCCGGGCTTGTCGAGTCCATAGTACTTCAAGGGGCTGTAAGTCGTAATCCCGGCACATAAGAGAGGAGCACCGGCATCAAGAGGCAAGTTCTCCGGCCAACGAATAACAAAGTGCTCGTCAGCAACAATTTTGTCAGAGTAACCTCCATATGTAACCGTTCCATCAGTGTAACGGGAACTGTAGGTGAGTATATATTTTGAACAGTAATTCTCAAGATCGTTGGCACATTGGTCACACTCACGACATGATCCAACCATGCATCCAACTCCGACTTTGTCTCCGACCTTGAATTTCTCCACCTTGCTACCAACCTCTGTTACTATGCCCGTGATCTCGTGCCTGTAATAAACAGCCCCGGTTCAACATCGGTTACTTTCCTTCTAGGAAAGATTTGAAAATAGCATTTTGTATAAAGGGGGATAAAGAGGGGTGATCTTACCCTGGAACAACAGGAAACTGAGTTAGGCCCCATTCATTCTTGGCCATATGAAGATCCGAATGACAGATCCCACAATATAGAACCTTAATCTGCACATCGCGCTCACCTGTGGCCCTGCAAAAGTGCACCAAATCCTTCAAAATATATCCAACCACAAAATGCAAAAGTATTACGAAAATAACGCCAAAAAACTAAAGAATCGTGATCTATACCTTCTGGAGAATTTGAAAGGAGAAAAATGCGCAGATGGGTCTCTGGCAGCCCATCCAAAAGCTTTCACGGGGTGCTCTGTTTCTGGTGATTTTGCCATTTCTTTAGCTTTTCTGCTGTGTGAATATTTGAGCAAACTGAGAGAGCGGCAATAAGTTACGGGTTACTCCACAAGTTGGCATGGTTTTATAACGCCCAAAAACAAAGAATCGCGATCCATACCTTCTGGAGAAGTTGAAAGGAGAAAAATGCGCAGAAGGGACTCTGCTAGTTTGAAAGTTTGACCCGTCTCTTGCAATAATGTTTATTAAACTTAAAAAATGAAAATGTTTTGCTATACGTAACAAATAGCATTTTCCAAAAAGAAAACCTACCTGTTCATTTCTTTGGATAAATATATTATATTAAGGTTAAAATATATTTATATCCTCGACCATACCTAGAAATTTTAGACGTGTGAATTATCCGTTTGTTGGCTTGCAAAGACATACGTTGGTCTCTCGTTGATGAGATCTAGATAGAAAAAGTCTATAAATTTCGTACGTTAGTCTCTCGTTGTTCATATCTATATTAAAAAAAAACTATCAATTCTAACTCATTTAATTATTTTTCGACTCTCACATAATGATTTTCATAAAAATTTTCAACTGAAAGATTGAAATTGGACATGTTCTCGATTCAGAGTAACTAATTTCATTTGAAATTAAATAGAATTAATTACATGTGTAAATATTATAGATCTGTTTATTGACACTCTATTACACTTTAGAAGATACAAACCGATCAAATGAAAGAGAGAAAATTGATTACGTATTCACATATGAAGGAAGAAATAATCTATAGTTAGTTAAAAAAAAAAAATTATTTTTCGTATTGTGATGTAAATAGTCAAAAAGGGGTGAGAAAAGTAAAACTTATCAAAGTCTAGTAAAAGTTTCCCCTCTTCACCGAATTTGGAGCTATTTTCTCAAAATTTCCTTTCTTAAATTCTTATATCTTGATCTCTTTTTCCAAATAACATTTAGTGCAAGTTTGACTGCTCAAAAAGAGAAGAGCAAACTTTGAATGATTATATTTTGAAATAAAAATCTATTTATTTTGTGTGCTTTTTCTATGTTATAAACATAGGAGGTTTATTTACTTTATAATTTAAACACGTTACTTTTCTAAATTTTATAAAAAGAAAATTCAAAAAATACCGATTCAGGAAACAATATTTAAGACTTAGATTGCGATAATATTATTTAAAATTTTTTAGTATTTTAATTTATGCCATAGTTTGATTTCCATTATTTGACCACAAAAATGAAAATATGATTATTATCCAACACATCAAGTCATGGGTCCCATAACGGTTATATTTTTCATTCTTATTCTTACAAAAATAGGTACCAAACGGGGCCTATATATATATATATATATATATATATATATATTTGTGTATAATAAGTTAAAAAGAAAGACTCCAAATTCCCAACTATACCCTTTAACCGATTCAGGAAACAATATTTAAGACTTAGATTGCGATAATATTATTTAAAATTTTTTAGTATTTTAATTTATGCCATAGTTTGATTTCCATTATTTGGCCACAAAAATGAAAATATGATTATTATCCATCACATCAAGTCATGGGTCCCATAACGGTTATATTTTTCATTCTTATTCTTACAAAAATAGGTACCAAACGGGGCCTATATATATATATATATATATTTGTGTATAATAAGTTAAAAAGAAAGACTCCAAATTCCCAACTATACCCTTTAGATTTCATTTTCCATTCGCCCCATTACACAATGTCTTCTAGAATCCAATTTTTTTTCCCAAAAATCAATCCGTCTATGTGTGCACCGTTAATTGGACTAGTTAGGTGGGTGAGCCATTTTTGTCTTGTATACGTTTGCCTTTTATGCCTCTTGTTTGCTATGATAAACACCGTTCGAGGATTCGGAGTCACGAAAAATGAATCGAGAAACAAGAAGATGAATGTCCCGTCGATGTTTTCTAAAAATTTATTTAAATTGATCTCCATTTATCTCTTCATACGTATAATGAGGTCACGTTCATAATACTTTACAAATAATACAATTTTCAGTACCAACACGATTGATGGTACTAAATTAATAACCTCACTTGATGTATGAAATAATAAATATATTTAAAATCTTTTAGGGTTCGATAAACATATAAAATAATAGCTACTTAAATACTTGAAATTTTCGTATTCAAGAACGTTTTGTTTGAATACTTATGTTTCCTTAATTGAACCCTTCTTAAAATATGCATCTAAGTTACTTGAATTTTGCCTACACTCAAAATGAACTCAGTACTCAATACCATCACTAATTTTCTGAAATGCTTACTCCACATTTAAGAGAGTGTCTTCAATTGAGACTGTGATAGATTTTAAAAGTCGTTCTAAATTTAGGTATCTTCGATTGAGATTTTATTTTAATGAAATCTATTAAAATTTAGGTAATTTCAATTGAGATTTTAATGAAATCCTTTAAAATTTAGGTATCTTCAATAATTAGTGGATTTATAAATATTTCATTAATAGAAGGATTTTAAAAGATTTGGATGGATTTCAAGCTTAAAAATACATATAAGTAAATCTTTTGAAATTTCAACATATTTGATGAGATTCTTATGAAATTTGTATGAATTTATTCAAATTCACAAAATTCATTAGAATTTATAATAATTTAAAATTCATTAAAATTTTAGTTGAGAACATCCTTGTTAATTTTTTTTTCTTTATTTTGAAGAAAGTAATTAGTTAACTTACAACTACTTAAAAATGATATCTCCTGATTATACATTCGATAAATTTTTCAATGGTTGTTTTTGATGTTCAAAATCAATATCTTCATCTTGACCGAATCAACTTGTGGTTCAAAATCAATATCTTCATCTAACTAAAATTCGCATTGTCGAAAATAATTTGCAATAATTTCTTTTATATGTACATCATATAAATTTTGGTCACAACCGTCGTTTTTTATTTTAAAATTGTACATGTATCTAAGCTTAGAAAAATAATTCTTGTACATTTTTAAGAATATAAAGTTTTTTAATTAATAAATGTTCATTTATCGATAAATGATAATTTGTACGTAAACAATAACATAGACAAAGTACAGAGCTTAATCTATTCATTAATCTCACATCCATTAAAGAATGACAGGCTAACAACGAATAATTAGCCCTGTTTGACGATCATTCTTTCCAAACTTTTTTTATTTACACATCATTTTTAACCAAACATTCTCAGAATAAGACAATCTCATCACTTGGCTGCTCCAACCAGGAATCGAACTCCCCACACTTGGTTCCAGAGCCCCCCAATGTGATTGTTCCGCCAACTTGGATGTGCCCTGGGGGGCAATATACCATGGATCTTACAATTATGTCTCATGGTGTTGTTAGTATTCACATAGAAAATGAGCATATAAATTTCAATATATATGAAGATGACAATTTTATTTAATTATTTCTAGACCACAAGATACATTCATGAAATTTTTTTGAGTGAGTACATTTTTATATAAATAGAAATGAAAACTCTCATTCGAAAGGTTCAAAATTGGACATCTTAAAATAAGATATCAACTTCTACTTGAAATCGAATGAATGACGAATGTAGACATTATTGATCTACTTATTAATATTTGATTACAATCTAATACGTCCAATTGACCGAATGTAAGGAATAGAGGTAATGGTCTTCGTATTGTGCTAAATATGGTCAAAAAGTGGCGAGAAAAGTAAAAAACTCGTGAAAGACTTGTAAATTCCCTCCCTCCTAAACCCATTATTCAAGTTGGTGCTATTCCGTCAATTGTTGGTATCTTGTTTTAACAAACATTATTGCAAGTTTGACGACTCAAACAGAAGAGCAAACTTCAAAATAGAAATTAATTTATTTCTTGTGGTTTTTCTATGTTTTTACTTATTAATGTAAGAAAGTTAATTTCATTTACTATTTTAAAAATATTAATTTTTCATAATTGTACAACTCTAAAACAATATAAAGTAAATTGTACGAAAAGAATATTTAAAAAATACCGATTCCGAGAACATTATCTGAGACATTTAGACACATGAAAATTTAGGTTTAATCAGTTCTGGGTATTTTTATCTATGTAAAATAATAAATTAGTGTACATATTAAAAATAAAATTAAAATTGAAATTGAAAATCTTCAAATTGACCATTATACCCTTCCATCTCATTTTCCATTAACCCCCAAATCAATCTGCCATCAATGGGCGTAGTAGTTTAGTTAGATGGGAAAGCGATTTTTCGTCTTGATTTTGTGCCACCAAAATGAATAGAAGAACCTTCTAGAAAAATTAAGTACTTGCAAGTGGGAACACATATTATATTCAAATATGCCAAAATGGTGGACTATATTATATTCCAGCGTACGAAACACTATAATTTCGTCGATTTTAATGGTGCTGGCTGCCTTCTCAAAATTTGTTGGACTACATTTCAAACTTTCCAGAAGAAAATTACAAATTTTATTATACAAAAGTATAAAGAGACATAATAGTTAAATTAAATTTTTATTCAATTCTCTATACCTAGTACCTTCCTCTACTTGGTCAAATGAGCCATTTTCATCGAAGCCAACATGTCAACACCGAGGGTCGACCCAATACCCACCGTTATATAGGTCGTCCCATGAGATACGTAATTCAAAAGCACGATCATAACATGATTGAAAAGCTGCCACCTAGAGGGCAACACTTTCGACAGTAACCAATCAAAGAAAAGTCACAATAACTAGAGATGTAGGACTACCGTCTGAATATCATGATAATTCATTGCAATCGAACTTTCAACCAATTTGTTAGGTCTAAAAGTGTACTCGGCAATTCTGTAAACAAAACGAGCGTAATTGTATGTTTGTAAAAGTCAAGGATTCAATTTTACATTCTTGTAAAAGTCAAGGGCTTAGGGTGCAATTTTGTATAGATGAGATAAATTAGTGCTCGAGTCATTGAAGAAGTCCAAGATGTCCAAAAAGATAATATAAGATCATTGTAATACAATTAGAAGTCTAAAGAATATCAAAGAATCGCATAAATTATGTTCCAAATTTTTAATTGTAATTTGCAACGCATATTTCTCATAGAAAACATTGGAATTTGGACAAGTCTAATCCTAGAAGAATTGTAGCTATTTGAGTTAGCTCTCCAATGCAAGTTGATCACCTCAATTGAATATTAAGAGAGAAAGTTATGATAAAATTTCTGACGACTACTCACTGTCGTTC